TATTTGGCCGCTTATTTACCGCTGATGCTTGGTTTCTCCAAGGTCGAAGACTCTGTTATCGACACCGTTCGTCGATCGCAATCAACTCCTTTGCAGCATGTTTTTCCTTGTAGACTGTTTTTACTCCTTCCTCTGTCAGAAATTTATCATCTAGTGAAGAGTTGAAGGCACTGCCCTCATGTTGTGTATCCATGGTCTCCCGAGGACTGCGTTATACCTCATGTCACATTCAATGACATGCAACTTCGTATCCTGTATGGTCCCGACTACATTTACTGGCAAGATAATTTTTCCCTTTGTTGTTTCGTTTGCCATGTTGAAGCCATTCAAGACTCGGGATGCAGGTACAATCTGGTCTTGTAGGCCGAGTTGTTCTACGACCCTCGATCTGATTATGTTTGTTGAGCTACCTAGATCCACTAAAACACGTTTAACTTGAATTTTATTCAAAAGGATAGAAATTACCAGGGCGGCGTTGTGAGGCTGAGATATGCCTTCTGCTTCCTCGTCTTAGAATGATAAGATATCCTGGGGCACATAGCACTAAGTCTGTTTTTCTCTGGTGATCGATACTTTGGTGCGTCATTGAGGGACATCAACTCCTCCAATGATCATTTGGATTACACGTTGTAGTTCTTCTTGCTCATTTTTCCTTGCATCTATCTCTCTGAGGTGATTCTTAACAAACGAGCCATTTTTCCCTTAGCTGTCTGCAATCTTCTGTTCGATGAACATGTGTGCCATGATATTTGAACATCAAGTTTGGGTTTATTTAGGAAGGATCGGTATGTATTGTCCCGGGCCACTTGGTGTCTTTAATTCTCCCAATAGCTGAGACAATCCCTGATGCATCTATGCTGAAGTTGTACTCTGATAATCGAGGGGCCTCGGCAGGGTCAGTATGCTTATTGAACCCGCTTTTATTCATGAGTCCCCGAGAACTTTGACCTCAATCATTTCTTTGATCGCTCCCAAGGAGTGTTCCGGCTCGGCCCGCTGTTCCTTCGATCCGCATATGGCTAATACCATTCTTTGTTGAATCTTGATTCTCGTCTTGTGTCCCTCGGGGGCTTGGTTGTGAATTTGGTAGGTTGAACTGAACCCGAGGGGGCTCGCAACTAGTCGTCCTCGACCCAGTTCTTTGACTAATAACGATTGTGCATATCCAACCATGTCACACCTGGGTATTCAATCCGGTTCTGCTTCAACTGTCGAGATGCGATCGAGCTCCTGTCATTCAGACCCTATATAAAGGCATGTACTGCCCAGTCATCGGAGACCGGTGGTAATTCCATTCTTCCATCTGAAAACAGGACACGAACTCGTTTAGCATCTCGTCGTTCCTTTGCTTTATTTTGAAGAGGTCCGATTTTCTTGTGGACACCTTTACCCCGGCATGTGCTTTCACAAAGGCATCTGCTAACATAGCAAATGAATCAATAGAGTTAGGAGCTAAGTTTTGATACCAAATCATGGTTCCCTTTGATAGTGTTTCCCCGAATTTTTTCAACAAAAATGACTTGATTTCATCGTCATTCAAGTCATCTCCTTTAATCCCATAAGTGTATGAAGTTATATGCTCGTTAGGGTCAGTTGTCCCAATATATTTGTGTATGTCGGTCATGCGAAACTTCTTCGGAATGGGAATTAGATCCGCACTCTAGGGGAATGGTTTTTGTATAAACTTTTTGGCATCTAGACCTTTCAAAACTGGAGGTGCCCCCGGTATCTGGTCTACTCGGGAGTTATAAGTTTCCACATTCTTATCATCATCTTCAATTTTCTTTTCTCCAGACTCGACCCTCTTGGTTAGTTACTCGAGCATTCTCATAATCGTGGGGTCAGTCCCCAAGCACTTTCATCAGGCCTTTCTAATGCTGGTTCAATACACCGAGTGTTTACTGGTTCGGTTGTGTTTGGAGTTCTATTCTGACTCTGAAGTCGAGCGATGGCGATTTGCCGAGCTTGCAGCATCTCGAATATCAGATGGAGGTTGACTCCCCCTTTTTCCATTCCTTGTGTTCTTTGGCTACCGGGCTGTGCTTCCTGCGTATATCTCCTTCGGGTCCACGCCTGGATCTGCATTCAAAGCAATGTGTGAACTGATATCAACAGGTTCCACATTTTGCACTTCCCCTGGGTTTATCGATGGTACATCGACTCCTGCATTGTTGTTTTCTCCAAGATCTTCGTTGTCATGAATGAGTGCGTTTTGTGAGTTAGACATGTTTCATCCTGAGAATCAAAAATCTTGATAAGAAAAAGTGTAAAGCAACATGTGTAATGAGAATCAGTAAAGAAATAATCACTATTATCTTTGGCCCTACGGTGGACGCCAAACTATTTACCTCGAAAATACGAGTAACAATTAAATTTGATTAGTGGTTTTAAAGAAATGTGATTTAGTTCAATACCAATTAATAATCAAGAAATATGAAGTAGAAATGAAAGATAGAAGTGAATCAAACCAATGTTACTTAGCAGCAGTGACCTCGAGACTAGTGACCTCAAGGTGGCTTAGGGCAGTAAGAACAATTAAGTAGGAAAAGCAAAGTAAGAATAATAAATCTAAAGGACAATTCTAATGAACAGTAGGCAAAAAGTAGAGAGTATATTCTTTACTCAATGATAAGATGATCTTACAAATGATTGGGGTCTCCTTTATATAATAGGGGAACCCTAAATAAGGAATATTTCTATTTACAATAAGGAATATTCTTGGTACAACTGTCTAACCGCATAGTACGGAACCGTACAATCATATTTCGGGATTTGCGCCATGACTTTGAGGACGTAGAAAGAATTTAACTCGAATAAATCCATAATGGTACTACTTTGGGGTCGAGCACACTCGACCTCGGTATGCATCGTGCTCCGCCTTCGAACTTGGATCAGGTCCCTCTAGCTTGATCTTTCCCGGACTCGGACTTTGGACATGCCCCTAAGCCTATAAGTCGGAGGCATACGACTTTGTCTATATACAGTATTCATGGTATATACAATGCATACAGTTAGGGCTGGAAAGTGGGTCGAGCCCATTCCTAAACGGGCCTAAGTGAGTCGGTCCTAAGTGGTCCCCGGCTTCACGGGCTTTTTGTAAGAACCAGCCCAGGATAGGGACCACGAACTAGTAGTCCCGGGCTAATTGGGTCGGTCCCGGGATGAAGTAGGCCCAACGAATAAACTTTCTATTTTTTTAATTTTTTTTATAGAAGTTAGAAAAAAATGGTAATAAAAATATCTAAAGCAATGCATTATAATTTTTATTATAGCATTAAAAAAATATGGCAATATCTTTCTTAGTATTCCTCCCCCTTATAGAATGAGCACAACAAGGTGTTAATACCTCTATTGAGAAGAAAAAGAAACTAATCAATATGTGCCAAAATACAAGTTACATATTAATTTACATGGTATCTCTTACAAACTTCATAAATTTATTAAGGTCCAGAGGAATTTCCGTTGGTGATGGAGGAAAAGAAGCTTGGTCATTACCGCTTTCGGGTGAAGCAGAATCTTCCGCAAGTTCAGCTAGCATTTCTTCGTAAGCTTCGTCTACCTCTGGTTGCGATTCAGCAAATCCAAAATTTCTTCTTTCCGAACGAATCCAATCTCTGAAAAGTATTGATTTTTCCAATTTCTCCCTCATAGACGCTCTATAATCATGGAGTTGAAGTCTTTCTTGACTGAAAGCGCTCTCTGATGCCACTATAGAAGTTTGAATAGTTAAAATATCTCGGGCCATCCTTGAAAGAATCAACTAGGGTTTTTCTTTGTCTTTCCACCATTCCAAAATATTAAATGAGCCGTCGGAATTCACTTCCTCAATTCCCTGTGACAAATAAACTTCAAGCTCATTTAGTTGTGAAAAATTACTAGTACTAGAACCTTGAGAATCCCTGAACCTGGTCCAAGCACTAAGTGCTCTTACTCCCGCAGTTCTTTTAGATGATTGAGAATCAGAAGAAAAAGGAGTTGGAACATTTGGTCTAGCCTGATCTAATGCAACTTGATAAGCATTATAAATAGTTTGAGCATTTATTTTAATTGAGGCTATTGCTTCCGGAAGTTTAGACAACTCCTCTTCTTCAAGTGCTAAAACATTATAAACAGTTTCATACCAAAATTGAGAACCTCCTAATTTCACAGTAGGATTTAACAAGGCAACAACACCATAAATAGGGGGAATAGGAAAAAAATATTTTTTAAACTTTTTTCTCATAGAATCAATAGCTTGTTCATAAATTTCCACACTCTCTGAAAAATGAGCAAATAAATTTGCAAGTTCTGCAATATAAACTAAACAGTTAGAAATAATCGGATAATATTTCCCAAAAAATTCGTTTGTAGTAATATGAAATTTTTCTAAAAAAACTACAAGCATTTTAACATTATCTCAATCTGCATTTGTAAGGTGCTCATCACCATCACTTACATGAGTATTAAGCATTGATTTTATGGGGTTTCTATATTCATATGCAACAACTAAACTTTCATATATGTAATTCCATTTAGTTGGACAAGCTTTAGGAACTTTTCTTTCTCTTAGGCCAAATTCATCGCATCTTTTAAAATATTCTCTAAGTCTACTTCTACGGTTTGAAAAAAATCCAGTTAGGAGCCATTTTAACCTTTTCAATTTTAATATTTAAAATTTTCATACCATCACCCACAATTAAATGGTAAATATGAAAAATACATCTAACATAAAAAATGTTACTAAATGCAGGACATGGTGTAGTGGTAAGCGAGGCTACAACATTTGTGTTACTAGTAGCATTATCCATTGAAACTGACATGATTTTATCAATAATGCAAAGATATCTACAAATATCCGTAACTGTTCCAGCAATGAACTTTCATGTGTGATGTGAATTAATTATTCTATAAGCAATAATGCATTTTGTAAATTTCAAATTCACAAATAGAGAGAGAAGATCCTCCCACTCTCTATTCCTATAGTACTTCTTCCTCATCAAATTTCATTTGTTATGACTACGATGATAAACTATCTTATGCCACCAAAACCACTAGATAAGAATCTTGCTTCCCAAAAAGAAGAGCTACATAGTTTCAAAGAACAAGTAATAGAAGGCATGCAACAGTCCATAACTCTTACTGAAGCAACAAATATTATGGACACTACAACAAAGATCCAAGATACAGCAGGTCAGCAAACTCATCAAACACTGACAGAGGAAAACACAATCCAGATCTCGGAGGAAGACCAAGCTAGGATTTATCAGCCATGGAAATTCTCACTCATTATTAAACTCATTGGTATGAGAATTCAACATCACATCTTAAAAAGAAAAGTCCAGGAAGTGTGGAAGATCCCAAAAAACTTCCCCTTGATCGATTTGGATGCAGACTACTACATAGCCAAATTTAATTGTCAAGAACACATGGTTAAAGTTCTAAGTTTTGGACCATGGTTCATTTTTGGCCATGTCCTCTCCATCCAAAGATGGAAACCTAACTTTGTGGCAACGGAATTTAAAAACTCTCTCACTGCTATATGGATTCGTCTGCCACGATTGCCCACTGAGTTTTATGGTGAGATAGTCATGGCAAAAATTGGTAATGCCATTGGTAAACTATTGAAAGTTGATGCGTGCACTTCTTCCACTATATGAGGTCGTTATGCAAGATTATGCATTGAGCTCCCCTTAGAAGTTCCGGTCACTCCCTTCATAAAAATTGGCCACCATAAACAAAGCATCCAATACGAAGGAGAAAACACCCTATACAAACAAAGTGGAAGACTAGTCCATGTGGCTTCAAAATGTTTTTATACAAAAATACTTACAGACACTCCAAACACCAAACCTTTCGATGGAAAATCTAGCTAATACGCCTGAGGAGAAGATTAATATCAACTCAACCAATGGAGCAGCATGGCAAACGGTAAAGTTCCTCAAAAAGAAAAGGACCAATGGGAGAGCCTCCGGAAGATATCAATGCCCAAGTACCCAAGCAAATTCAATTCATCCAATACCAGGTAAGTTCTCTTTTCCCACCCAATCTATGAAATACATCCCTATTAACACTCAACCAATAAATGGCAACAAGCCTACTTCAAATGATTACCATTCTGATAAAAAAAACCACGGTGGATTGCAACAATAAGTTCTCTACTTTGGTAAATCCTGCCACTGAATTAATTAACAATAAATTTTTTTTATTAAAAACCCAAATATTTCCTTTATGCTAAACAATGTTCCCAACGTGGCTTCACCTGATTCCTATACTGAATACGTTGATGACATGAAATTCTCCAACAAAAACAACATGAAATCTACTAACCTCTCTACTAATCAAATGGTTATTGATAACTATACTCCAAACTACCATATTACCCAAAATCAATCAAGCAATCTCTCGAATAATCGTACTACTAATACCTGTCCCACTACAAAACCCACCACTAATCACTGCATGGCTCAAATTTGGACCCCATAATACTTGTCCCACATGCCCCCACCCAAAAACCAAATGGCCAATGAAACCCCCCACGTGCCTACCCTTTCCGATAACCAAAATCTCCATAAAATCAATTCCCCTGCATGCAAAGAAAGAATGCAAATAGACCATACCATTGGCACCCTAGATAGCCATACTACTATTGGAAACCTCCTAATTTCTACTGTGCAACATGCCGCAACAAGTAGAAACCACCCCTAAATAACCAAAATGCCAAGAATCCCAATATATCAAAGAAGGAGATATAGTCTAGTCCAAATTCCCAAACACCAACGAGCACACACCATGGCAAACCCACCCCCAAACATGAACAACCAACAGGGGAACCAAACAGTGTTCTTCATCCAACCACTACTCCCCCAAAATCATCAACTACTCTCGTGGATAGAACAAGCTCTAATGGGGCATGCAGTATCAGTCAACATGATACTAGATGGTCAAGACACTATGATAATCCTCCAAAATTCTCACTTCCTAGCACATCTTGTCAGCGAGGGATTGCATATGTCCATGAGCAACTATTACATCCATGTATGGTTGGACAATATCCTTCAACCATTGGCTCCAAACTTGAATGCCCAGCAAGCACAAGCCATGAGAAATCAGTGGAATCTCCCTCACCATTTCAACCCTCTCCAAGCCCAGAACATGAACCTGGATCTCCCATTCTTTCTTCCAGGGAAGATTCAAAACTTGAATCCAGTATTCATGCCATGGGTAGCAATCCCTCACTTTCAACAGAACCAAGCCCAACCAATTCCTCCACCAAACAATCCACCACCACAAGAAATGAATTCCAATGTGCAAGAACACGTAGATCCCCCAGTAGAGAATGTCGAAGAAATCAACCTACTAGGGTCAGAAGAGATAATAGAATTCTCAAANCCCCCCCCCCTTGTACAAGTTCTCAATGGACATACAACCTCCCCAAGACCTCACGGTTGGAAGCCATGCAATGATACTAGTTCCCTCACTGAGGAGGAACCCGCTGCTCCAGGCCAGAATGGAGAGCAATCCAAACAACAATAAAGTTCCAATGATGTATAGACCTACTAGTATTATCATCTAGAACATTCATGGGGGAAATAATGAAAATTTTCGTATTAACTTTAGGGACATGATGGATACTCATAAACCATGAATGGTCACTTTGTTGAAAACACGCATGGAAAATCATACAACTCTGCTTAATGATTTTCCATTCACTAACATGATTGAGGTGCCAGCAGAGGGTCAAGCGGGAGGCATAGTTATTCTGTGGGATGCAAATATAGTCAAGGTCCATGATTTTGTTAGATGAAATCAGAAAATCCATGCAAATATTGAGGTAACTCCCTTTAAATCTATTTGGTTATTTTCTTCAATTTATGCAAGTACTACTGTAGAAAATAGACGTACTCTTTGGAATAATATTGAAAACATCCATGCAAACAACTTCAAGCCTTGGTTGCTTGGAGGAGACTTTAATGATATTTTTTGTGCTCGTAACAAAATTGGAGGAAATCCTATAAATCGTAGGAGATGCAACATCCTGTGGGGTAGTATCAATAGTTGCAACCCCCTAGACCTAGGTTATAAGGGTAGTAAGTTTACTTGGACCAACAATAGGACAAAATCTAGAGGCCTTATAATGGAAAGATTAGATAGAGTTTTTATAAATAAGGATTGGCTAAATTTATTTCCTAAGGCTATGGTCACTCACCTGCCTAGAACTTATTTCGACCATAGCCCTTTACTTGTCACTTTAAATCCAAATAATATAAATTTCTCTAATAAGCCTTTTAGATTAGAAACTATTTGGTGTAGACATCCGGATTTTGTTAACGTAGTTAAAAATAGTTGGTCTAACAAAACTTTGTCTGAAGCTCAAATTTGTTTTCGAGACATAGTAATGACTAGAAAAATGAAACTTTTGGCAATATTTTTAAAAAGAAAAAAACCTACTAGCCCGTCTAAATAGTATCCAAACCTCCCCTGCCTATCATAATAGTTTATTCCTTCAAGACCTTGAATCTAAGCTTCAATTAGAGTTTAACAATATCTTGAAAATGGAATATGATTTTTGAAAACTTAGATGAAGGATCTCTTGGTTGAACGATGGTGATGCAAAAGATTTTACCATATTATGGCTACAAATCGTAAACGTTGCAATGCCATAATGTTCTTTAGAAATTCCAATGGTGATTGGATAAATGACCCCTCTTCCATCCTAAAACATACCCGAAAGTTCTTTATGGAAGCTTTCACCACCTCAAAAACTTCCTCACATTGGAAAGACACCCTAGGAGATCCCCCAAATCAAAACTCCTTTGATCTTGCAGTCTTGACATGGCTCTAACTAAGGAGGAAATCACAAATGTCGTTTTCTCTTTTAAACCTTTTAAAGATCCAGGGAGACGGAATGTACCCTTTTATCAAAAATACTGGAATATCATTCATAACTCGATAGAATCTTTTTGTTATAAGGTCTTTCAAAACCCAAAGTTTGCCTAACAATATAAATGAGACTCACATCTGTCTTATCCCTAAATTTGAGAATGCTAACAACCTGAAAATTTTTAGACCAATTGGTCTTTGAAATACTTCCTACAAAATTGGTACGAAGATTATTGCAAGTAGGATTAAGCCTTTCCTACCCTACCTCATTAGCCACCTTCAATCTAGCTTAATTAAAAATAAGAGAACGTATGATAATGCGATTATTGTGCAAGAAATTTTGAACAATCTTCGGAGATACAGGAAATCGACCCCTGATATGCTTATTAAAATTGACCGAGAAAAAGCTTTTGATAGGATAGAATGGTCGTTTATCTACGGATCTTTAAAGTTCTTCAATTTCCCTCCCAAAATTAGCAAACTTATTATGCACTGCATCACCACTAGTACTATGAGTGTCCTAGTTAATGGGGCAACTACTAAATTTTCCAGCCCTAGTAGGGGTATCTGCCAAGGAGATCCTCTATCCCCCTACATATTCATCATATGTATAGAATTGCTCTCCAAACTCATCAACTATCAAACTGACATTCTAAATTGGGATCCCATTAAAATATCTCATAAAGGCCCTTATTTTTCCCATGATTTATTTGCGGACGACATAACTCTAATGGGAAAGGCTAATAAAAATACTCGTCACTGTATTAAGAGTAGTGGACGACATAACTCTAATGTATCAATTTTTTCTACTCCCAATCAGGATTTTCAATAAACTTCTCTAAATCCAAGATATTTGTCACGACCCAAAATCCACCAAGGGTCGTGGTGGAGCCGGACACCACTGTCAGGCAAGCCAACCAAATTACTTAAAAAAATCTCGTTTTTTTTATGTTTTAAAAATCTAGGATTTTTCTTCCGTATTTAGAAAATTTTAAAGAATATAGTTTCAAATCAAATATAAAAGTTAAGAAATTAATACAATACTCCAAACCATCCCAGAACCCTGAGTCACAAGTGCATGAGCATCTACTGATAAGAGAAATAAAATACAACATCCGTACGGAATACAGTGGACGAAAGTAAATACAATACACTGGAAGGGACTACCCTAGCTGCGACTGTCTCGAATGATGCAGCTCATCTAATCCCAGAATCATCCGCACTGCTATGCCCAGTAGACCACTGGAGTCACATATACTTGTGAAACAAAATACACAGCAAGTGTAGTATAAGTACAAAAATAACGTGTACCCAGTGAGTATCCCGCCTAATCCTGAAGGGGTAGAGATGAGATAGTCAAGTTTGACACTCACTAGTAGTCCAATGATTATTTATCCTTAATACATATATTTAACAGTGGATTTATTTTATAAACGTGATTCTAATCCAGATAGAGGAAACAAGTAAACATATAATTCTTTCATGGGAAATTCCCTTAGATTTTTTGTTATTATTAACAAAATGATCTCGAGCCATAGTGAGGCATAAAACAACTCAAATGAGTCCAAGCAGCGATAAAAGCATGCGCAAATCATACCGAGGTCGACGGCCCGCTCCAACAGAAATAAATGTTCACTTGCCGAGGGTCAACGACGCGCTTATAGATGCATTTATTAATCTGCCGAGGCGTTCGGACCGTTCCAAAATAAACATACGCAGACAGACAATCAGTCAAACATTCAACGTGGAGCAAATATCCAAGAAAGGCACGTGGGGA